CCCTTGGGAAGCAGACCCAATCCCTGGGAAGCAGACCCGCTCCCCGGGAAGGGGAACAAACCCTCGGGGTGCAGAACCCATCCCCGGGAAGCAGTCCCAATCCCTTGGGAAGCAGACCCGATCCCCAGGAAGCAGACCCGATCCCTGGGAAGCAGACCCGATCCCTTGGGAAGCAGACCCGATCCCCAGGAAGCAGACCCGATCCCTGGGAAGCAGACCCGATCCCTTGGGAAGCAGACCCGCTCCCCGGGAAGCAGACCCGATCCCTTGGGAAGCAGACCCAATCCCCGGGAAGCAGACCCAATCCCTTGGGAAGCAGACCCGATCCCTGGGAAGCAGACCCAATCCCTGGGAAGCAGACCCAATCCCTGGGAAGCAGACCCAATCCCTGGGAAGCAGACCCTATCCCTGGGAAGCAGACCCGATCCCTTGGGAAGCAGACCCAATCCCCGGGAAGCAGAACCCATTGTTGGGAAGGGGAACAAACCCTTGGGAAGCAGACCCTATCCCTGGGAATCAGACCCGATCCCCGGGAAGCAGACCCGATCCCCAGGAAGCAGACCCGATCCCTTGGGAAGGGGCCCAATCCCCGGGAAGCAGACCCGATCCCTTGGGAAGCAGACCCAATCCCTGGGAAGCAGACCCAATCCCCGGGAAGCAGACCCAATCCCCTGGGAAGCAGACCCAATCCCTTGGGAAGCAGACCCAATCCCTTGGGAAGCAGACCCGATCCCTTGGGAAGCAGACCCAATCCCCGGGAAGCAGACCCAATCCCTGGGAAGCAGACCCAATCCCTGGGAAGCAGACCCGATCCCTTGGGAAGCAGACCCAATCCCTGGGAAGCAGACCCTATCCCTGGGAAGCAGACCCAATCCCTGGGAAGCAGACCCGATCCCTTGGGAAGCAGACCCGATCCCCGGGAAGCAGACCCGATCCCTTGGGAAGCAGACGCGCTCCCCGGGGAGCTCCGTGCGTGTCCCCCAGCATTCCCTGCCCCCCACCAGACACGGTGGAGCTGGCGTGGTCGGTGCTGTCGGACATGGAGGTGATCGAGCTGAGCAAGCGCACGTCGGGCCAGTCGTTCGAGGTGATCCTGAAGCCGCCGTCGTTCGACGGCGTGCCCGAGTTCAACGCGTCGCTGCCGCGCCGCAGGGACCCCTCGCTCGAGGAGATCCAGAAGAAGCTCGAGGCGGCCGAGGAGCGCAGGAAGGTACGGCCGGGGCTCCGGGGTGCTCATCCTGCCCCAATTCCATGAATTCCCCCCGCCACTTCGGCTTCCCAGACTTCCTCAAGTCACCGACGACACCGGATACCCCAACCTTCCCAAGTTCCCAACCCCACCAATGTCCCTAACCTTCCCAACCACCCCAACCTTCCCCAAGTTCCCAACCACCCCAATGTCCCCAACCTTCCCAACCTTCCCAAATTCCCAACCGCCCCAATGTCCCCAACCTTCCCAAATTCCCAACCACCCCAACCTTCCCAAGTTCCCAACCACCACAATGTCCCCAACCTTCCCAAATTCCCAACCACCCCAACCTTCCCAAATTCCCAACCACCCCAATGTCCCCAACCTTCCCAACCACCCCAACCTTCTCCAAATTCCCAAACACCCCAACCTTCCCCAAATTCCCAACCACCCCAATGTCCCCAACCTTCCCAACCACCCCAACCTTCTCCAAATTCCCAAACACCCCAACCTTCCCCAAATTCCCAACCACCTCAACCTTCTCAGTCTTCCCCAAATTCTCAACCTTCCCCAAATTCCCAACCACCTCAACCTTCCCAACCTTCCCCAAATTCCCAACCTTTGCAATCCCCCCAACCTTCCCAAATTCCCAACCACCCCAACCTTCCCAACCGCCCCAACCTTCCCCAAATTCCCAACCACCCCAATGTCCCCAACCTTCCCAACCTTCCCCAAATTCCCAACCACCCCAATGTCCCCAACCTTCCCAACCTTCCCCAAATTCCCAACCACCCCAATGTCCCCAACCTTCCCAACCTTCCCCCAATTCCCAAGCACCCCAATGTCCCCAACCTTCCCAACCTTCCCAACCTTCCCCAAATTCCCAACCACCTCAACCTTCCCCAAATTCCCAACCGCCCCAACCTTCCCCAAATTCCCGACTGCCCTGACATCCCCAATTCCCAACAACCACAACCCCCCCAACCTTCCCCAAATTCCCAACTGCCCCGACCATCCCCAATTCCCAACAACCACAACCCCCCCAACCTTCCCCAAATTCCCAACCACCCCAACCACCCCAAACTTCCCCCCCACCCCCATGTCCCCAACCTGCCCAACCTTGCCCAGAGTCCCAGCCTTTCCCAGTTCCCGAATTCCCTCTGTCCCTGGGGCAGTACCAGGAGGCGGAGCTGCGGAAGCACCTGGCGGAGAAGCGGGAGCACGAGCGGGAGGTGATCCAGAAGGCCATCGAGGAGAACAACAACTTCATCAAGATGGCCAAGGAGAGGCTGGCCCAGAAGATGGAGTCCAACAAGGAGAACCGCGAGGCACACCTGGCTGCCATGCTGGAGCGCCTCCAGGAGAAGGTGGGAACGGGAATGGGAATGGGAATGGGCTGGGAGCACTGGGACAGTGGGCTGGGAGCACTGGGATGCTCCGGGAGAAGGTGGGAATGGGAATGGGAATGGGCTGGGAGCACTGGGACAATGGGCTGGGAGCACTGGGACAGTGGGCTGGGGATACTGGGACAGTGGGCTGGGATCACTGGGACAATGGGCTGGGATCACTGGGACAGTGGGCTGGGGATACTGGGACAGTGGGCTGGGGGCACTGGAACAATGGGCTGGGGGCACTGGGATGCTCCAGGAGAAGGTGGGAATATGGGAATGGGAATGGGCTGGGATCACTGGGACAGTGGGCTGGGGGCACTGGGGCAATGGGCTGGGGGCACTGGAACAATGGGCTGGGATCACTGGGATGCTCCAGGAGAAGGTGGGAGAACGGAAATGGGAATGGGAATGGGAATGGGCTGGGATCACTGGGACAATGGGCTGGGGGCACTGGGATGCTCCAGGAGAAGGTGGGAGTCTGGGAAAAGCCCCTATGGGATGGGGGGTCCTGCCCGGGGAACTGGAGTGTCCGTAGGGTCAGGAGAGCTTGGAGGGTGGAGAGCTGGGAAATGTGGCTTGTCCGGCTTCCCCCTCGTGCCACCGGCACAGAATGCTGGGATCCGACAGGGGCTTGGTGGGGAGGAGGGACCCTGAGGATCATCCCGCTGTCCCAGGGGATCCAACCCGGCCTGGGACACTCCAGGGATCCAGGGGCAGCCACAGCTTCCCTGGGAATTCCAGCCCAGCCGGGAATCCCTTCCCAATCTCCCCTGTCCCAGTGGGAAGCCATTCCCTGTGTCCTGTCCCTCCATCCTTGTTCCCAGTCCCTCTCCAGCTCTCCCGGAGCCCCTGCAGGCTCCAAGCCCAGCCTGGAACATCCCCCAGCTCCAGGGAATCCCGGGATCCCAGACTGGCTTGGGACGGAAGGGACCTTAAAGCTCCTCCCATTCCATGGGCCGGGACACCTCCCACTACCCCAGGGAAGGAGCAGAGGACTCCAGCATTCCTTAGGGGATCCCAGGGAAGGAGAATTCCCCAGATGATCCCAGGAACGCGCAGAGTTTCCCCCGCAGTGTCTCCCCCCCCCTCAGCTCTCGCTCCCCCCGTGACGCGTGTCCCGCGTGTCTCCCTCTGCCCCCGCAGGACAAACACGCGGAGGAGGTGAGGAAGAACAAGGAGCTCAAGGAGGAGGCCTCGAGGTAAAGCGGATCGGACTCTCAGAGCTCCGGGAGGTGTTTTTTTGGTGTCCTTTCCCCTCCCCGGAGCTGAAGGAAGAGGCCTCGAGGTAAATCGGAAAATCGGATCGGACTCTCAGAGCTCCGGGAGGTGAATTTTTTGGTGTCCTTTCCCCTCCCCGGAGCTGAAGGAAGAGGCCTCGAGGTAAATCGGAAAATCAGATCGGACTTTCAGAGCTCCGGGAGGTGAATTTTTTTGGTGTCCTTCCCCCTCCCCGGAGCTGCTCCGCTCGGATTTTCAGCCCTCCGGGAGGTGTTTTTTTTTTGGGTGCCCTTTCCCCTCCCCCGGAGCCGAAGGAAGAAGCCTCGAGGTAAATCGGATTGGACTCTCCGCGCTCCGGGAGGTGTTTTTTTTATGTCCTTTCCCCTCCCGGACTCTCCAGCGCTCCGGGAGGTGAATTTTTTGGTGTCCTTTCCCCTCCCGGACTCTCCAGCGCTCCGGGAGGTGTTTTTTTTGTGTCCTTTGCCCTTCCCCGGACTCTCCGAGCTCCGGGAGGTGTTTTTTTGGTGTCCTTTCCCCTCCCCGGACTCTCCAGCTCTCCGGGAGGTGTTTTTTTGGTGTCCTTTCCCCTCCCCCGGAGCTGAAGGAAGAAGCCTCGAGGTAAATCGGATCGGACTCTCCGAGCTCCGGGAGGTGATTTTTTGGGTGTCCCTTCCCCTCCCGGACTCTCCAGCGCTCCGGGAGGTGTTTTTGGTGTCCTTTCCCCTCCCCCGGAACTGAAGGAAGAAGCCTCGAGGTAAATCGGAAAATCGGATCGGACTCTCCGAGCTCCGGGAGGTGAATTTTTTGTGTGTCCTTTCCCCTCCCCGGAGGCTCCCGCGGCATCGGAAGGGTCGGGTCGGGTCGGGACGTTCTTCTTCTGCTTTCTGTGTTCGTGGAGGGGACGGAGGGGACGGGGCGAGGCCACCCGTGACATTCCGGGGAGGGGGGAGGGAGGATGGATGGATGGATGGACGGACGGATGGAAGGAGAGGGGAGGGTAGAGGCGGGAATGGGGGGCCGGATTTGGGGTCTCCACCTCCCGTGGGAGGTTCTCCCGTGAGTGGGAGGGTCTCCCGTGAGTGGGAGGGTCTCCCGTGAGTGGGAGGGTCTCCCGGTCACGCGTGGCCGGAGGAGGAGGAGGAAGAGGAGGGAAAAACCCCGGGGAGGGGAGGGGAGGGCTGGGAATGTGCGTCTGTGTGTGTGGCCGTCGTTGGGAGCGTGCCGGGCAGGTGAGGAATCCCCTCTGGAATCTTCTCCTCCATCCCTCTCCCCGTTCCCGCCTGGAGTCGGGATCTCCCACCCCAATTTTTTATTTACCCTCCGAGCATCACTTTGGGAAAGGGTGGGGGAGGATCCGGATCCCACCCCCACTGGAATGGTTGTGGCTCCAAAGGTGTTTTTTATTCCCTTGGAATCACCCCCGATCCTTTCCAAGGAAAGCCCTCGTGACTTCCCAAAAAAAGGTGGTGGGGTTTGGGGTTTTTTCATTTTGTAAGAAACCCCCCTTCCCCCAAAAAAACCCAACTCATCCTTGTGGGGATTCTTGGATGAAATCCCATTTTCCTGCTGTGGAGCAGCCGCCGTGGGTGGGTTTCTCCATGGGAATGTCGTGGAGCGGGAGGAGGAAAAGAGGGATGTGGGGAATGGAATGGAGGGGGGGAAACAAGAGGGAAGGAGGAGGAGGAAAAGAGGGATGCGGGGAATGGAATGGAAGGGGGGGGAACAAGAGGGAAGGAGGAGGAGGAGGAGGAGCCAGAGGGGGGGTTGGTGGAAGTGCCCCCCCGGAGGAGACAATTCCAGGGGGGAATCCCCTTGGAAAACCCGCTGGGCTCCTCGGAGCGCTGGCGGAGCTGCTTTTTTTCCGGGATTCCCGGGAGCAGAGGGCGTGGTGGGGTTTTTTTTCCTGCCGGGAGGGGCGGGAATGCCGCGTCCTCTCCCGCTTTTCCAGTCCCACCATTCCTGCCCCCCTCCCCCCGGGCTTTGTCGCCCGCAATTCCCGAGCTCCGGGGAGGATCCCGAGGGAATCCCGAGCGTCCCTTCGGCTGTGCCCGCGCGGATCCCGCGGGATTCCCGAGAAAAGGGGCCGTTCCAGCCGGGGCACGAGTTTGTCCCTTTTTTGTACACGACGTTGTAAATAAAAACTGCCTTGGCCTTTCCTTGCTTTTCTCACGATCCCTGCCCTTCCTTCCGTGGGATTCCTGAGGGAAAGGGCGGGAATCGGGCCGGGAGGCACCGGGATGGGGCTGTTTTATCCCCCTTATCCCAAAAAACCTGGTGGGACTGGGGTGGATTTGGGTTCCTCTCCCATCCTGGGTTTATCCCTGGATTAGGGAATCAGATCTCAGTTCTGTGCCCCCCAAAATGCTCCGGAGCATCCCAGAGATCCCCAGGATCCCGATGGATACAGGACAGCTGGATGTCCTTGGGGGATCCCAGGGAATTAGGGTGGGCTTTGGGATGGGGCTGTTTTATCCCCCCCGTCCCAAAAAACCTGGTGGGATTGGGGTGGATTTGGGTTCCTCTCCCATCCCAGACCTGGAGCAGGGAATTCCATCCGTGTGCTGGGGGAGGGGGAAGTTTGGGAAGGAAATGCATGGGAAAAACGGGAAAATCCACCTTTCCTTTCTCTGAACGTTCCCGAGCTCGTTTGCACTCGTGGGATGGGGAAAAAAGGGAATTTAATTAAGTATTTAATTGGATGTTTAACATCCTCCGGCTCTGGATCCCGGGAGAAGGCAAAGCCAGGGAGAAAGGGAGGCTCTTCTGCTGGAATTACACTTGGAAAATTAAAACCGAGCCACAAACCAGGTTTATCAGGAATAAAGCAGTGGAAAAAATAAAAGGGGGCTAAATCCGGTCTGATCGTTCCTACTGAGCAGTTCTTGGGTGGATAAAAAAATCCTTCTGGAATTCTTTGCCAGGGAAAAGGACGGAAAGGTGAGAATGGAATGGGAAAAACCAACGGAAAGTGGAAAAATTCCTGTCTTTTTTTTATTTTTTTATTATTTTAAAGCGTTTGCCTTTGGAGTGTTGTCGTCGCTGGTTGATGCCCGTGGGTGGAACACAATCCCTGCCTTCCCAGCCTTTTTTTTCCCCGTGATTCCAGCCCTGGGAATGCTCTCCCGGCTTCCCTCGGGACCGCCTCCAGCGCCTTGGGAGCCGCTTCCAAGTGGTGGCGAATTTTCGGGATCTTCCCGAGCTCAGCCCGTGGGATAACGGCCGGTCAGTCCCATCCCACCTGGAAAACTCTCCTGGGGATTCCCAGTTTTCCCGGAGCGTGGCCGGAGCTCCCGACGCCTCCCGAGGTCCCGGCTCGGTTTGGAGCCGATTCCCACGGGCGGGACAGCGGGATTCACTTTCTTGGGAACGCCTCCAAAAGCCCGGAGGGAACCCCAAAGGCCCTTCCCAGAAATCAGCTCCGCCTTCCCAGGAGAGCTCCCCACACCCAAATCCTCCCTGGAGGAGGAGCCGGAGCCATTCCCAGACGGATTCCCCTGGGAGCGATTCCCTCCTGCTCCATTCCCTGCCAGATTCCCCCGGGAGCGATTCCCTCCGGAGCCATTCCCTGCCGGATTCCCCTTGGAGCGATTCCCTCCCGATCCATTCCCTGCCAGATTCCCTTTGGAACGATTCCCTCCGGAGCCATTCCCAGCCAGATTCCCCTTGGAGCGATTCCCTGCCGGATTCCCCCTGGAGCGATTCCCTCCCGATCCGTTCCCTGCCGGATTCCCCCTTGGAGCGATTCCCAGCCGTATTCCCCCGGGAGCGACTCCCTCCGGATCCAGCGGTTTTTCCCGATGGTTCCCGGCCCCGGGCGCTCCCGAGGAGAGGGCAGGGCCATCCCGGGCTGCCTCAGGGGGAGAGGTGGGGCCGGAACGCGCGGGGCCGGATCATCATCACCACCTTGCGCAGGGAATAATAATCCGTGTCCTTCCAGGAGTACCACACGATCCCGTCCGGCCCCAGCATCCGCCGGTTCCGCAGGGAGTATCTCCCACCCTGCGGAGCGGAGGGAGAACGGAAATCCCTGGATTTGTCAGCTAACCCCCCGCGGAGCCACATCCCGCCCCTCCCGGGCTGATGGAATCAGCCGTTCCAGAGGTTTCCACCGGGTCATTCCCAGCCCCGGCGCGCGGAGGCGGCTCCAGAGCCGTGCGTGATCCGTGGAAAAGCTGGATCACCCCGGGAATCCTTTAATTCCATCCCTGGAGAGAGGAGGTTGGGCGGGGCAGGGAGAAGGGATCTGATCCCGGGCAGGAGAGGGAACGGGGGAGGAGAGCGCCAGGGGAGGTTCAGGTGGGATATCGGGAACAATTCCCACCTGGAAAGGGCTGTCAGGCACCGGAATGAACTTCCCAGGGCAGGGCTGGATTCCCAATCCCTGCAGGGATTCCCAATCCCTGGGGATGTGGCCCTTGGGCACACGGGGCAGGGCTGGCCTGGGCTGGTTGGACTCCGGAATTCCGGAGGGATTTTCCATCCTGAGCCATCCCTAAGGATTCTGGGCCATCCTGGCACTGTCCCAGCTGTCTCCACAATTCCCTGGCAGGAATTCTCAGGATTCCTGGATCCCCAATTCCCAGGGAAGAAGGGCCAGGAGGGAGAGGGAACGGCTCCAGCTGGGCCAGGGCAGGGTGAGTTGGACACCGGGAACAATTCCCGCACGGAAAGGGCTGCCCAGCGGTGGAACCTCCCCCCCTGGAGGGATTTAAATCCCTGGGGATGTGTCCCTTGGGGGACACGGATCCGGTCCCGGGCAGCGCTGGGATCCACCCCGGGGCTCGGCGACCTCCGAGAGCTTTCCCAGCCTTTAAGGAAATCCCCTCCGGAATTTTCCTCCGCCCCTCCCGCTTTTCCTCGCGTTCCATCCCATTTACACCGGGAAAACAGCCCCGTGCCGCCTCCCCCTTGTCCCCAGCTGTCCCCAACTGTCCCCAGCTGTCCCCAATCGTCCCCCCCACCTTGTAGTAGACGCCGTTGAGGTTGGAGAAGAAGCACTGGTGGTACCACCACCCGCCGTGGGAGATCTCTGCGCAGATGTTCCCCGAGTCCGGGGTGCTGAAGCTCCTCTTGTCGTGGTACCAGGCGAAGGAATCCTCCACGGTGCCGCTGAAGCCGTCCACGTGCAGCCGGTACAGGTTCTCCTCGTCCTCGATCCTGAGGGGAAAAGGGGCGGGGGTTAAGGAATTCCAGAGCCGCCTCCCTCCCTCTCTCCCTCCCTCCCTCCCTGCTGGGATGGGATGGATGAATGGATGGATGGATGGATGGATCGCCCGGAAAAGCTCAGGATGGGGCGGTTTTCCCAGGTTTTCCCAGGTTTTCCCGCCTCTGGGGTGGGATGGAGCAGTCAGGATCCAGGGAATCTGCTGGGGGTGGGGAGGAGGGAGATGGAGGGAGGGGTTTAAGGAATTCCAGAGCCGCCTCCCTCCCTCCCTCCCTCTCTCCCTCCTGCTGGGATGGGATGGGATGGATGGATCGCCCGGAAAAGCTCAGGATGGGGCGGTTTTCCCAGGTTTTCCCGCCTCTGGGGTGGGATGGAGCAGTCAGGATCCAGGGAATTTGCTGGGGGAGTGGATAGAAGGAGGGGTTTAAGGAATTCCAGAGCCGCCTCCCTCCCTCCCTCCTGCTGGGATGGATGGATGGATGGATGGATGGACGGATGGATCGCCTGGAAAAGCTGGGATGGGAGTTGGTTTCCCAGTTTCCCTCCTTGGATGGGTGGATGGATGGATGGATGGATGGATGGATGGATGGATCACCTGGAAAAGCTCAGGATGGGAGTTTCAGGTTTCCCAGGTTTTCCGCCTCTGGGGTGGGATGGAGCAGTCAGGATCCAGGGAATTTGGGGGAGATGGGGAGGAGTTGGAGGGAGGGGCTCCTCCCTCCCTAAGGAGATTGTGGATGGCTGCCTCGCTCCCTGGATGGCTGATGGATGAGGATGGATGGATCGCCTGGAAAAGCCCAGGATGGGGTGGTTTTCCCAGGTTTTCCCAGGTTTTCCCGCCTCTGGGGTTGGATGGAGCACTCAGGATCCAGGGAATTTGCTGGGGCTGGGGGGGAGATGGAGGGAGGGGTTTAAGGAATTCCGGAGCCGCCTCCCTCCCTGCTACTGGGATGGATGGATGGATCGCCCGGAAAAGCCGTGGATGGGCTGGTTTTCCCAGGTTTTCCCGCCTCTGGGGTGGGATGGAGCGCTCAGGATCCAGGGAATTTGCTGGGGGGGGAGAGGGGAGGGAGTCGGAGCAAGACGGGGAAGCCGCGGCAAAAAGGGGGATGTGGGAGCTCGGGAAGGGAGTCCTGGAATTATCCGGAGCCACCCCACGGCCACGGAGGGACAGTCCTGCTCCTATTCCCGCTGGAGATTGGGGAATTGTGGAGTGGTTTGGGTGGGAAGGGACCTCAAAGCTCATCCAGTTCCAGTCCAGACTCCTCCTACTATCCCGGGTTGGATGGGGCTTGGAGCAGGATAAAGGACACTCAGGATCCACTCAGAGGGGTTTTTATGGAATGTGGGGATGGCAAAGGCAGGAAAGGGGAAGGGAGACCCTTCCCTGAGTGCCGAGATTCCCAGGGAACCCCCCCTTGTTCCCGGAACTCCTTCCCAGAGAGGAGTTGGGCTGGGCATGGATCCAATGTCAGGCTCTGGATCCAGGCTGGGAGAGCTGGGAATGGCCAGGCTGGAGCAGGGAAGGATCCAGGGAGAGCTGGGAGCCCCTTCCAGAGCCTGCAGGGGCTCCAGGAGAGCTGGAGAGGGACTTGGCATCAGGGCTGGAGGGACAGGACACAGGGAACCTGGGCCATCCTGGCACTGTCCCAGCTCTCTCCACAATCCCCCGGCAGGAATTTTCCAGAGGTGGAGGGTCCCCAATTCCCAGGGAAGAAGGGCCAGGAGGGAGAGGGAACAACCTCCATCTGCGCCAGCGGGAGGTGCCGGTGGGATATCGGGAAGGGATTCTTTCCATGGAGAGCTCTCAGCCCTTGGAATGGGCTGCCCTGCCCAGGCAGGGGGTGGATCCCCCACCCCTGGAGGGTTTTTAGGGACACGCTGGACGTGCCATCAGCGCCACGGGCCGGGTTAGATCCAGGGGCTGGGCTGGATGATCCTGGAGCTCCTTCCCAACCCATCTGACCCGGCTGATTCCGTGAATCCCTGGACGTTTTCTGTCGTGTTTTCCCCTCCCTCCCCCGCCCGGGAGAGCCGGGGAGGGGGTGGCTTTGGGGGCGGGTCCCACCCCACCCTCCTTTTCCTCCTCCCCCCAGGGGCACGGGAGACGCCCCCGGCGACCTGAAGAGCTGGTAGAAGGCGTGCTTGTGCTTGTTGTTCCAGTCCTCCAGGTCGATGCGCAGCGAGTAGTCGCCCTGGCTGGTGAGGCGGTGGATGTTGTCGTTGCCCAGCCAGAACTCGCCGCTCAGCTCGCCGAAGCCGTCCCGGTACTCGCCCCACGTGCGGTTGAAATCCACGGAGCCGTCCTGGCGCCGCTGGATCACCGTCCAGCCACCCCCTGCGGGACAGGGGAGCGACCAGGGATGGATTGGGGGGGAGTTTGGGGGGACCACAAAGGGGATCCGACGGGAGAGAGGGAAGGGCGGGGGATCCGCAGCGCCGGGAGCGCCCCGGGGAAACCCGGGATGGAGGGAGGTGTCCCTGAACATGGAGTGGGATGATCCTGAAAATCCCTTCCCACCCAAATCGCTCCAGGATTCCAGGATAAAGGACACTCAGGATCCACCCAGAGGAGTTTCTACGGAATCTGGGGATGGCAAAGGTGGGAAAGGGGAAGGGAGACCCTTCCCTGAGTGCCGAGATTCCCAGGGAACCCCCCCTTGTTCCCGGAACTCCTTCCCAGAGAGGAGTTGGGCTGGGGATGGATCCAATGTCAGGCTCTGGATCCAGGCTGGGAGAGCTGGGAATGGCCAGGCTGGAGCAGGGAAGGATCCAGGGAGAGCTGGGAGCCCCTTCCAGAGCCTGCAGGGGCTCCAGGAGAGCTGGAGAGGGATTTGGGATCAGGGCCTGGAATGGCAGGACACAGGGAATGGCTTCCCACTGGGAAAGGGGAGATTGGGGTGGGAGATTGGGAAGGGATTCCCGGCTGGGCTGGAATTCCCAGGGAAGCTGTGGCTGCCCCTGGATCCCTGGAGTGTCCCAGGCCGGGCTGGATCCCCTGGGGCAGCGGGAAGTGTCGATGTTGGAATGGGATGATCCTTAAGGCCCCTCCCCACCCAAACCATTCCCTGATCCCGTAACATCTGCTTTGAACCAGAACTCGGAATCTCCCGAGTGGGGAAGCGACCCACGAGGATCACCCAGCTCCAACCCCTGGCCCTGCATCCCAACCCCACCCTGTGGGCATCATCCAACCCCCCCTTGAGCTCTGGCACCCTCGGGAAGTGCCCCTTCCCTGCGGATCTGCCACCACCCTCGGGGAAAGGACTGGACTGGGAGTGGCAGGAGGTGGGACAGGACCGGTGGGAGCTGCTGTGGGATCATCCATCCATCCCTCCATCCCAAATCCCTCCATCCCAAATCCATCCATGAATCCATCCATCCCTCCATCCCTCCATCCCAAATCCATCCATGAATCCATCCATCCCTCCATCCATCCCTCCATCCCTCCATCCCAAATCCATCCATGAAGCCATCCCTCCACCCATCCCTCCATCCCTCCATCCATCCCTCCCTCTCTCCATCCCAAATCCCTCCCTCCCTGCTCCCCTACCTTTGATGTCCATGTCACAGAGCACCTCCATCCCAAATCCCTCCATCCCAAATCCCTTCCAAATCCCTCCCTTCATCCCAAATCCCTGCCCTACCCTCGGTGTCCATGTCACAGAGCACCTCCATCCCAAATCCCTCCATCCCCAATCCCTCCCAGATCCCTCCCTCCATCCCAAATCCCCAGTCCCTACCCTCGGTGTCCATGTCACAGAGCACCTCCATCCCAAATCCCTCCATCCCAAATCCATCCCAAATCCATCCCAAATCCCTCCCAAATCCCTCCCTTCATCCCAAATCCCCACTCCCTGCCCTACCCTCCACGTCCATGTCACAGAGCACCTCCATCCCTCCCTCCATCCATTCCAAATCCCTCCCCAATCCCTCCCCACTCCCAGATCCCCAATCTCCCGTACCCTCGGTGTCCATGTCACAGAGCACCTCCATCCCTCCCAAACCCCTCCCTCCATCCCAAATCCCCAGTCCCTACCCTCGGTGTCCATGTCGCATAGCACCTCCATCCCAAATCCCTCCCTCCATCCCAAACCCCTCCTCACTCCCCAATCTCCCGTACCCTCAGTGTCCATGTCTCAGGGCACCTCCCTCCATCCCAAATCCCTCCCAAACCCATCCCAAACCCTCCCCAGTCCCTACTCTCGGTGTCCATGTCGCAGAGCACCTCTATCCCTCCTCCCTCCCTCCATCCCAAATCCATCCCAAATCCCTCCCTCCATCCCAAACCCATCCCAAACCCCTCCCTCCATCCCAAATCCCCAGTCCCTACCCTCGGTGTCCATGTCACAGAGCACCCCCATCCCTCCCAAACCCCTCCCCACTCCCCAATCCCAGTCCCTACCCTCAGTGTCCATGTTGCAGAGCACCTCCCTCCATCCCTCCCAAACCCATCCCAAACCCATCCCAAATCCCCAATCCCAATCTCCCGTACCCTCGGTGTCCATGTCGCAGAGCACCTCCATCCCAAATCTCTCCCTCCCTCCATCCTAAATCCATCCCAAATCTCTCCCAAATCTCATCCCAAACCCATCTCCATCCCTCACTGTCCCTGCACTCGGTGTCCATGTCGCAGAGCATTCTCCATCCCAAATCCTCTCCTCTCTCTATCCCTAAATTCATCTCCAAATCTCCCTCCATCCCAAACCCCTCCCTCCCTCCATCCCAAATCCATCCCCAAATCCCTCCCTCCATCCCAAATCCATCCCAAATCCCTCCCTCCATCCCAAACCCATCCCCATCCCCACTGTCCCGTACCCTCGGTGTCCATGTCACAGAGCACCTCCATCCCAAACCCATCCCAAATCCCAAATCCCCAGTCTCGGTACCCTCGGTGTACATGTCGCAGAGCACCCCCATCCCTCCCAAATCCATCCCCAGTCCCTACCCTCGGTGTCCATGTCGCAGAGCACCTCCATCCCTCCCTCCCTCCATCCCAAATCCCATCCATCCCGGTACCCTCGGTGTCCATGTCGCAGAGCACGAGCAGGGGCAGCCCGCGGAGGGCGGGCAGGACGCTGTAGGTGCCCGATCTCCTCAGCCCGTTCGAGTACACAGAGGCGCAGTCGATGGGGCAGTGCCGGGGGGGCCGCGGCTCTGGGGACGGGGGGGACACAGGGACACCCCGGTCAGGGATCCTGGAGAGCGTCCCGGGGGGAGAACAGTCCCGGATCCCGGGAATGGGAGGTGATTTGGGGTGAGGAGGATCCGGAGCCTGTCCTGATGAGATAACAGTCCCAGATCCCGGGACTGGGGGGCGGTTTGTGGTGAGGAGGGTCCGGAGCCCGCCCCGATGGGAAAACAGTCCCAGATCCCGGGATTAGGGGGTCCCGGGGGGTGGTTTGGGATGAGGAGGAAACAGAACCCGTCCCGGTGGGAAAACAGTCCCGGATCCCGGGATTGGGAGGCTCCAGGCGAGTGGTTTGGGGTGAGGAGGATCCGGATCCCGCCCCGGTGGGAGAACAGTCCCAGATCCCGGGACTGGGGGGTGGTTTGGGGTGAGGAGGATCCAAATCCCGTCCCGATGGGAAAACAGTCCCGGATCCCGGGACTGGGGGGTGGTTTGGGGTGAGGAGGAAACAGAGCCCGTCCCGGTGGGAAAATAGTCCCAGATCCGGAGACTGGGGACTCCAGGGGAGTGCTTTGGGGTGAGGAGGATCCGGAGCCCTCCCCGGAGGCAGAGCAGTCCCAGATCCGGGGATTGGGGCTCCAGGGGAGTGGTTTGGGGTGAGGAGGATCCGGAGCCCACCCCGACAGGAAAACAGTCCCGAATCCGGGGACTGGGGGGTCCCGGGGGGTGGTTTGGGGTGAGGAGGGTCTGGAGCCTTCCCTGACGGGAAAACAGTCCCAGATCCCGGGATTAGGGGCTCCAGGGGGTGGTTTGGGGTGAGGAGGATCCGGAGCCCACCCCGGTGGGAAAACAGTTCCCCCTCTCCTCATCCCTGGTTCCCGGCTCTCCCCTCACCCGCGGGGTTCATCTTCTCCTGCATCCCACAGTTATCCCACAGTTTCTCTCTCTCCCCAGCCCCATTCCCATCAGTTATCCCACACTTTCCCCCCTTCCCACCCCGATTCCCGGCCGTTCCCTCACCCTCGGGTTTCATCTCCTCGTGCATTCCCATCAGTTATCCCACAGTTATCCCACAGTTCCCACTTTCCCACCCCCACTCCCTGCTCTCCCCTCACCCTCAGGGTCCATCTCCTCCTGCATTCCCATCGGTTATCCCACAGTTCCCACTTTCCCCCCCCCGATTCCCGGCCGTCCCCTCACCCGCGGGGTCCATCTCCTCGTGCATTCCCATCAGTTATCCCTACAGTTATCCCACAGTTTCCCTTCCCGCTCACCTGCGGGTCCATCTCCTCCTGCATTCCCATCAGTTATCCCACAATTCCCCCCTTCCCACCCCGATTGCCGCCTCTCCCCTCACCCTCGGGATCCATCTCCTCGTGCATTCCCATCAGTTATCCCACAGTTATCCCACAGTTTCCCCCCTTCCCCCCCTCACCCTCGGGGTCCATCTCCTCCTGCATCCCACAGTTATCCCACAGTTATCCCACAGTTATCCCACAGTTATCCCACACTTTCCCCCCTTCCCCCCCTCACCCTCGGGGTCCATCTCCCCCTGCATTCCCATCAGTAATCCCACAGTTATCCCACAGTTTCCTCCCTTCCCCCCCTCACCCTCGGGGTCCATCTCCTCGTGCATTCCCATCAGTTATCCCACAGTTATCCCACAGTTATCCCACAGTTATCCCACAGTTATCCCACAGTTATCCCACAGTTTCCCCCCTTCCCCCTCACCCGCGGGGTCCATCTCCTCGTGCAGCCGCATCTCCGCGGGCCCGGCACACGCGTGGTTCCCCCACGCCCACTCTGCGAGGGCGGAGAGGTTGTTGAGCTGGGCCTGGATGTCGTACAGGAGGGTGGCCTGGATGTGCTGGAGGGCGCTGGACTCGCCGTGCCGCTGCTCCAGCTCCTGCAGCCGCCGCACCACGCTCTGGTTCCCGCCCCGCGCCTCCTCCTGCTGCGGGAATGTCACCGGGATCGGGGATCCCATGGATCGGGATCCACCTCGCCCCGCCTCGCCCCGCTGCTCCGCGGCTGCGGGAATGTCACCGGGATCGGGGATCCCGTGGATCGGGACCCGCCTCGCCCCGCTGCTCCGCGGCTGCGGGAATGTCACCGGGATCGGGGATCCCATGGACCGGGATCCGCCTCGCCCCGCTGCTCCGCGGCCCGGCGTTGATATTCCCGGGATTCCGGGCACGGGCAGGCAGGGAGGGGCGCCGGGTTCCTCTCCAAACGCCTCGTGGAATCGTGGAATGGTTTGGGCGGGAAGGGGATCCTTGGTGGGAGTGGAATTCCGACCCCGACACCTCCCGCCGTCCCGGGGGGCTCCCGGTGGGTGAAGGTGGGAGGATGTCCAAGGAATGCTGGATACTCGGAGCCTGAGTATCCCAGAATCCCGGGGTGGTTTGGGGTGGGAAGGGATTTTAAGGATCATCCCAGTCCGACCCTGGCACCTCCCGCTATCCCAGGGGATCCAACCCGGCCTGGGACACTGCAGGGATCCAGGGGCAGCCACAGCTTCCCTGGGAATTCCAGCCCAGCCGGGAATCCCTTCCCAATCTCCCACCCCAATCTCCCCTTTCCCAGTGGGAAGCCATTCCCTGTGTCCTGCCATTCCAGGCCCTGATCCCAAATCCCTCTCCAGCTCTCCTGGAGCCCCTGCAGGCTCTGGAAGGGGCTCCCAGCTCTCCCTGGATCCTTCCCTGCTCCAGCCTGGCCATTCCCAGCTCTCCCAGCCTGGATCCAGAGCCCTCAGGACATCTCCATGGCCTCACTCCAGCGGCTCCATGAGCTGGGAATTCCAGGCTGGAAGCATGCACTGCAGGCAGGGGATGTTCCAGGTTGGATGAGGAACCTCAGCCCCTTCCTGACCCTTTTCCCCCTGTTTTTTTGGGACAACCAGCCCCTGGTGCGACGTCAAAGCCGTGGATGAGCTGGCAGGAGATTCCCGCCGGTGATTCCAGGGGATGGGAGAGCTGAGCCCCTCCCCGGGATGCTCCAAACTCATCCCGAGCTCCGCAGTCATTCCCGTCCCTCCTGCTCGCCGCTCCCCGCCCATCGGGTGGCAGAGCTGCTCCTCCAGATCCCACGGAATCCTGGGAATCTCCCTCCCATCTCCCTCCACCCTCCACTCCAACCCCTCCCTCCATCCCGGATTCCCCGGGACCCGAAGTTTTCCGCCCTCTCCATCCCTTCCTTCACCCCCCGCTCGGGCTCCCAGGACATCCCGGGATCCTGGAGAGGCGGGAATTCATTTCCTCGCCTCCCCCCTCAGGGAAAAAGCTGGAATTTTCAGGTGTCCGTGGGAGCGTGAGGCTCGTTGAACATCCCTGGGAACACCGGGATGTGATTCCTGACCCCTTTGCTGCTGGAATAAATCTACCGGGTTTTATTCCAGGGTTTTTTCCCCCTTCCAGCTGCTCCCAGAACCTGGATCACTCCTCAGTCCCTATTCCCAGGAATTCCCAGGAGATCACCACGGTTGGGAATGGCCCCAAAAACTGATGGCAGCTCCATGATATCCCCCCCTGGTGCTGCTTCCCAGAGCCCCCCCCCCGGCTCTTCCCACATCCCAAATCCTTCCCACATCCCTGGGACCGGCACGGGCGCCTCCCAGCTCCTTCTCCCACCATCCCAGAGAATCCCTGCTGGATTTCCCGGACGATTCCCGCCTCCACAGCCCATCCCTGTTGTTTCCCTGCACATCCAGGCCACCCTGGTGCCGCTCCCACCCCTGTATCCCGCTGTCCCCGCGGGATTTGGGATGGATTTGGGCACCAACAGGGTCTGGCTCCCAATGGAGTTCGAGTGGGAAAGCACCGGGATGGTGGATCAGGGAGGTCCTCTCTTTCCCAAAATTCTCCTGGAAGAAGGGAAGCGTGGCAGGGATGGAGTCAATCCATGGGATACAATCCCTGTTTTCCCGGGAGCAGCTCCCACAGGGCTCCAAGAGACGGATCCGCTCGGACAGGCCGAGATCCCGGAGAAATTCCGGGCAAATCCTGGGAAAGGCGGGCCAGGACGGTTTGTGGAGCGGGATTGAGGGAGCCACCCAAGGAGGAGAAATGGGATTTGATGGACATGGTCAGGACATGGAGTGTCCTCCAGCATTCCAAGGAGGACAAATGGGATTTAAAAGGACATCCCAGGACTCCAAATGTTTTCCAGACATCCAAGAAGGAGAAATGGGATTTAAGGGACATTCCAGAACTCCAAATGTTTTCTAGGCATGCAAGAAAGAGAAATGGGATTTGATGGACATGGTCAGGACATGGAGTGTCCTCCAGCATTCCAAGGAGGACAAATGGGATTTAAAAGGACATTCCAGAACTCCAAATGTTTTCCAGACATCCAAGAAGGAGAAATGGGATTAAGGGACATCCCAGAACATGGAGTGTCCTCCAGACATCCAAGAAAGAGAAATGGGATTTAAGGACATTCCAGAGCACCGAGAGCCCTCCAGCCACCCCAAAAGGAACAACTGGGGTTTAATGGACATCCCAGAACATGGAGTGCCCTCCAGCCACCCCAGAAGGAGAACTGGGATTTAGGGGCCATCCCAGAGCACCGAGTGCCCTCCAGTCATCCCAGAAGGAGAACTGGGATTTAATGGACATCCCAGCACCCCGAGTACCCTCCAGCCACCCCAGAAGGAGATATGGGGTTTAGTAGATGTGCCAGTACCCTGAGTGCCCTCCAGGCACCCCAGAAGAAGAAATGGGGTTTGATGGACATCCCAGCACCTCGAGTGCCCTCCAACCACCCCAGAAGGAGAACTGGGATTTAATGGACATGTCAGAACATAGAATGCCTTCCAGCCACCCCAGAATGAGGAATGGGATTCAGGGACCATCCCAGAGCACTGAGTGCCCTCCAGCCACCCCAGAAAGAGATATGGTGTTTGATGGACATGCCAGAACATGGAGTGCCCTCCAGCCACCCCAGAGGGAGCAACTGGGATTTAGGGGCCACCCCAGCACCCTGGGTGCCCTCCAGCCACCCCAGAAGGAGAACTGGGATTTAATGGATGTGCCAGAACATGGAGTGCCCTCCAGCCACCCCAGAAGGAGAAATGGGATTTAATGGACATGTCAGAACATGGAGTGCCCTCCAGCCACCCCAGAAGGAACAACTGGGATTTAGGGGCCATCCCAGCACCCCGAGTGTCCTCCAGCCACCCCAGAGGGAACAGCTGGGATTTGGGGGCCATCCTGGAACACCAACTGCCCTCCAGCCACCCCAGAGGGAACAACTGGGATTTAGAGGCCATCCCAGCACCCCGAGTACCCTCCAGCCACCCAAGAAGGAACAACTGGGATTTAGGGGCCATCCCAGTATCCCGAGTGCCCTCCAGCCACCCCAGAAAGAGAAATGGGGTTTAGTGGACATGTCAGAACATGGAGTGTCCTCCAGCCACCCTAGAGGGAACAATTGGGATCTAATGGATATCCCAGCACCCCGAGTGCCCTCCAGCCACCCCAGAAGGAGAACTGGGATTTAATGGACGAGCCAGAACACAGAATGCCTTCCAGCCACCCCAGAAGGAGAGCTGGGATTTAGGGGCCATCCCAGCACCCTGAGTGCCCTCCAGGCACCCAAGAGGGAACAACTGGGATTTAGGGGCCATCCTGGAACACCAAGTGCCCTCCAGTCATCCCAGAGAGAGAAATGGGGTTTAGTGGACATGTCAGAACATGGAGTGTCCTCCAGCCACCCTAGAGGGAACAATTGGGATCTAATGGATATCCCAGCACCCTGAGTGCCCTCCAGCCACCCCAGAAGGAGTACTGGGATTTAGGGGCCATCCCAGAATATGGAGTGTCCTCCAGCCACCCCAGAAGGAACAATTGAGATTTAGGGGCCATCCCAGCACCCCGAGTGCCCTCCAGCCACCCCAGAAAGAGAAATGGGGTTTAATGGACATCCCAGCACCTCGAGTGCCCTCCAGCCACCCCAGAAGGAGGAATGGGATTCAGGGGCCATCCCAGCATCCCGAGTGCCCTCCAACCACCCCAGAGGGAACAACTGGGATTTAGTGGACATCCTGGAACACTGAGTGCCCTCCAGCCACCCCAGAAAGAGAAATGGGGTTTGATGGACATGCCAGAACATGGAGTGCCCTCCAGCCACCCCAGAAAGAGAAATGGGGTTTGATGGACATGCCAGAACATGGAGTGCCCTCCAGCCACCCCAGAGGGAACAACTGGGATTTAGGGGCCATCCCAGCACCCCGAGTGCCCTCCAGCCACCCAAGAAGGAACAACTGGGATTTAGGGGCCATCCCAGTATCCCGAGTGCCCTCCAGCCACCCCAGAAAGAGAAATGGGGTTTAGTGGACATGTCAGAACATGGAGTGTCCTCCAGCCACCCTAGAGGGAACAATTGGGATCTAATGGATATCCCAGCACCCTGAGTGCCCTCCAGCCACCCCAGAAGGAGTACTGGGATTTAGGGGCCATCCCAGCACCCCGAGTGCCCTCCAGCCACCCCAGAAGGAACAGCTGGGATTTAGGGGCCATCCCAGCACCCCGAGTGCCCTCCAGCCACCCCAGAGGGAACAATTGGGATTTAGGGGCCATCCTAGAGCACCGAGTGCCCTCCAGCCACCCCAGAAGGAGAACTGGGATTCGGGGGCCATCCCAGAACATGGACTGCCCTCCAGCCACCCCAGAAGGAACAATTGGGATTTAGGGGCCATCCTAGAGCACCGAGTGCCCTCCAGCCACCCTAGAAGAAGAGTTAGGATTTAATGGACACCCCAGAACATGGAGTGCCTTCCATCCACCCCAGGAGGAATGGGATTTAGGGGCCATCCCAGCACCCTGGGTGCCCTCCAGCCACCCCAGAAAGACAAATGGGGTTTAATGGACATCCCAGAATGTGGAGTGCCCTCCAGGCACCCCAGAAAGAGAAATGGGGTTTGATGGATGTGCCAGAACATGGAGTGTCCTCCAGCCACCCCAGAAGGAACAACTGGGATTTAATGGACATGTCAGAACATGGAGTGTCTTGTAGACACCCCAGAGGGAACAATTGGGATTTAGGGGCCATCCCAGCACCCCGAGTGCCCTCCAGCCACCCCAGAAGGAGAACTGGGATTTAATGGACATCCTGGAACACTGAGTGTCCTGCAGAAATCCAGGAGGGGAGAAATGGGATTTAATGGACATCCTGGAACATGGAATGCCCTCCAGCCACCCCAGAAGGAACAGCTGGGATTTAGGGGCCATCCCAGCACCCTGAGTGCCCTCCATCCACCCCAGAGGGAACAACTGGGATTTAGGGGCCATCCCAGAGCACTGAGTGCCCTCCAGCCACCCCAGAGGGAACAGCTGGGATTTAGGGGCCATCCCAGAGCACGGCGAGTGCCCTCCACCCACCCCCCGAAGAAGGAGAGCTGCTCCGCGGGCTGCCCCTCACCTGCATCTCCAGCGCCTTGAGGCGGTGCCGGTGGCCGCGCAGCTCCTCCTGGAGCTCGCCGAGGAGCTCCCGCAGCTCGAGCAGCTGCTGCTTGCGCTCCTCGTTCTCGTGCAGCCAGTAGGACACCTCGTCGGTGCAGCGGAACAGGTCTGGGCAGCGGCGCTCGTCGCCCTGGGGCAGCGTGGCCACGATGCGGCAGCGCCCGTCGGGCAGCACCTGGTTGGAGTACTCCCCGCACCGGATCAGCCCCGCAGCCCCCTCGCCGTCCCCGGGCCCCGCGGGCAGGGATTTCCCCAGGGAAAAGCGCAGGGAGGACGCCACCAGCAGCAGGGAGAGCAGGAATGGTCGGCGCGGGGGGAAACCCGGGGGTTCCATGGGGCAGGGGGAGGGGGATACCGAGGGAAGGAGGGGAGAGGTGGATGGGGGGGTAAAAAGGGGGAGAGGGGGGAGGTGCCGGGGGGTGACAGCTCGGGATGTCCGGGAATGGGGGAATGGGGGAGTGTGGGAGTGGGGAATTGCAGCCCTATGGGATCAGGGAATAACACCAGGGCTGCTACTGGGAATGAGGGGCTGTGGGAGCGGGGAATTGCAGCCCTATGGGATCAGGGAATAACACCAGGGCTGCTGCTGGGAATGAGGGGCTGTGGGAGCAAGGAATAAATAACACCAGGGGATCTCCGGGAATGGGGAGGTGTGGGAGCAAGGAATAAATAACACCAGGGGATCTCCGGGAATGGGGGGCTGTGGGATCAAGGAATTGCAGCTCTATGGGATCAGGGAATAACACCAGGGCTGCTGCTGGGAATGAGGGGCTGTGGGAGCAAGGAATAAATAACACCAGGGGATCTTTGGGAATGAGGGGCTGTGGGAGCAAGGAATAAATAACACCAGGGGATCTCCGGGAATGGGGGGCTGTGGGAGCAGGGAATTTTAGCCCTATGGGATCAGGGAATAGCACCAGGGCTTCTCCTGGGAATGTGGGGCTGTGGGAGTGGGGAATGACACCAGGGGATCTCCGGGAATGTGGGTCTGTGGGAGTGGGGAATGACACCAGGGGATCTCCGGGAATGACGGTCTGTGGGAGAGGGGAATGACAACAGGAGATCTCCTGGGAATGCAGATCTGTGGGATCGGGGAATTGCAGCCCTATGGAATCAGGGAATAACACCAGGGGATCTCCTGGGAATGAGGGTCTGTGAGAGCGGGGAAATGCAGCCCTATGGGATCAGGGAATAACACCAGGGGATCTCCTGGGAATGAGGGGCTGTGGGAGCAGGGAATGACACCAGGGCTTCTCTTGGAAATGCAGGATTGTGGGATCAGGGAATTGCAGCTCTATGGGATCAGGGAATAACACCAGGTGTTCTCCTGGGAATTGCAACTCCGTAGGATCAGGGAATAACACCAGGGCTGCTTCTGGGAATGAGGGGCTGTGGGAGCAAGGAATAAATAACACCAGGGGATTTTCGGGAATGGGGGGCTGTGGGATCAGGGAATGACAACAGGGCTTCTCCTGGGAATGTGGGGCTGTGGGAGTGGGGAATGACACCAGGGGATCTCCGGGAATGCGGGCTTGTGGGAGTGGGGAATGGGGGAATGACAGCAGGAGATCTCCTGGGAATGTGGGGCTGTGGGATCGGGGAATTGTAGCCCTATGGAATCAGGGAATAACACCAGGGGATCTCTGGGAATGTGGGGCTGTGGGAGTGGGGAATTGCAGCCCTATGGGATCAGGGAATAACACCAGAGCTTCTCCTGGGAGACACAACTCTGTAGGATCTGGGAATAACACCAGGGGATCTCCTGGGAACGAGGGGCTGTGGGAGTGGGGAATGACAACAGGGCTTCTCCCAGGAGCTGGAACTCTGTAGGATCAGGGAATAACACCAGGGCTTCTCTTGGGAATGCAGGATTGTGGGATCAGGGAATTGCAGCCCTATGGGATCAGGGAGTAGCACCAAGGGATCTCCTGGGAATGTGGGTCTGTGGGAGCAGGGAATAACATCAGATCTTCTCCCAGGAATTGCAGCCCTGTGGGATCAGGGAATAACACCAAGGGATCTCCTGGGAATTGCAGGTCTGTAGGATCAGGGAATAACACCAGGGCTTCTCCTGGGAATGTGGGTCTGTGGGATCAGGGAATAAATAGCACCAAGTCTTCTCCTGGGAATTGCAGCTCTGTAGGATCAGGGAATAACACCAGATCTTCTCCCAGGAATTGCAGCTCTGTGGGATCAGGGAATAACCCCCGATGTTCTCCTGGGAGATGCAGCTCTGTAGGATCCGGGAATAACACCAGGGCTTCTCCTGGGAAATGCAGCTTGGTGGGATCAGTTCTTCTCCTGGGAATGCAGCTCTTTGGGATCAGGGAATAGCACCAAGTGTTCTCCCAGGAACGGGGATCAGGGAATGACCCCAGCTCTTATCCTGGGAATGCAGCTCTGTGGGATCAGGGAATAACACCAGCTCTTCTCCCGGGAGGTGTAGATTGATGAGATCAAGGAACAACTCCAGGTCTTCTTCCAGGAGTGCAGCTCTGTGGGATCAGGGAATGACCCCAGCTCTTATCCTGGGAGGTGCAGATTGATGAGATCAAGGAACAGCTCCAGGTCTTCTCCTGGGAATGCAGCTCCGTGGGATCAGGGAATGACCCCAGCTCTTTTCAGGGAATGCAGCTCTTCTCCCGGGAATGCAGCTCCGTGGGATCAGGGAATGACCCCAGCTCTTATCCCGGGAATGCAGCTCTGTGGGATCAGGACATCCACAGGGATCCCAGAGCTCCAGCCGAAGGTGCCAGCACAGGAAGAGGAGCTGCCCATGGAATGGAATTCCCATGGAATGGAATTCCCGGTGTCCCCCGAGCCGGGATCGGCTCCAGCAGGAGCTTCTCCGCTCTCCAGGTCACCCCTCGGGAAGGGAATTCCGGCCCCTCAGGCCCATGGGTGGGAATGGGATGGATCCCCTGCACTGGGCATCCCGGGATTCCGCCTGGAACGGGAAGCAGAGCGAGGAGAGGGGATGGAGAGGGAGGGCAGAGCATTCCTGGAATCCCGGGCATCCACAGGGAAGGGATTGGATCCCAACAGCCTTTCCTGGCTCCCTCCTGTCATTCCCAGGGACACAGGGCATGGATTGGATCCTTCCAGCCATTCCCAGGGACACAGGGTATGGATTGGATCCTGTCCAGCCATTCCCAGGGATACAGAACATGGATTAGATCCTCTCCAGCCATTCCCAGGGACACAGGCCATGGATTAGATCCTCTCCAGCCATTCCCAGGGACACAGGGCATGGATTGGATCCCTTCCAGCCATTCCCATGGACACAGGGCATGGATTGGATCCTGTCCAGCCATTCCCAGGGACACAGGACATGGATTAGATCCCTTCCAGCCATTCCCAGGGACACAGGACATGGATTAGATCCTGTCCAGCCATTCCCAGAGACACAGGACATGGATTAGATCCCCCCATCCAACCATTCCCAGGGACATAGGCCATGGATTAGATCCCCCCATCCAGCCATTCCCAGGGACACAGGGCATGGATTGGATCCTCTCCAGCCATTCCCAGGGACACAGGCCATGGATTAGATCCTGTCCAGCCATTCCCAGGGACACAGGGCATGGATTGGATCCCCCCATCCAACCATTCCCAGGGACACAGGGCATGGATTAGATCCTCCCATCCAACCATTCCCAGGGACACAGGACATGGATTAGATCCTGTCCAGCCATTCCCAGAGACACAGGACATGGATTAGATCCCCCCATCCAACCATTCCCAGGGACACAGGGCATGGATTGGATCCTCTCCAGCCATTCCCAGGGACACAGGGCATGGATTAGATCCTGTCCAGCCATTCCCAGGGACACAGGGCATGGATTGGATCCCTCATCCAGCCATTCCCAGGGACACAGGGTATGGATTAGATCCTCCCATCCAGCCATTCCCAGGGACACAGGGTATGGATTAGATCCCCCCATCCAACCATTCCCAGGGACACAGGGTATGGATTAGATCCCCCCATCCAGCCATTCCCAGGGACACAGGGTATGGATTGGATCCCCCCATCCAGCCATTCCCAGGGACACAGGGTATGGATTAGATCCCCCCATCCAACCATTCCCAGGGACACAGGGCATGGATTAGATCCCCTCCAGCCATTCCCAGGGACACAGGGTATGGATTAGATCCCCCCATCCAACCATTCCCAGGGACACAGGGTATGGATTGGATCCCCTCCAGCCATTCCCAGGGACTGGGGCATGGATTAGATCCCCTCAGCCATTCCCAGGGACACAGGGTATGGATTAGATCCCCCTCAGCCATTCCCAGGGACACAGGGCATGGATTGGATCCCCCCATCCAGCCATTCCCAGGGACACAGGGCATGGATTAGATCCTCCCATCCAGCCATTCCCAGGGATACAAGACATGGATTAGATCCTCTCCAGCCATTCCCAGGGACACAGGACATGGATTAGATCCTCTCCAGCCATTCCCAGGGACATGGGGCATGGATTAAATCCTCTCCAGCCATTCCCAGGGACACAGGGTATGGATTAGATTCCCTCCAACCATTCCCAGGGACACAGGGTATGGATTGGATCCCCCCATCCAGCCATTCCCAGGGACACAGGGCATGGATTAGATCCTCCCATCCAGCCATTCCCAGGGACACAGGGCATGGATTAGATCCTGTCCAGCCATTCCCAGGGACACAGGCTATGGATTAAATCCCCTCCAGCCATTCCCAGGGGTACAGGGCATGGATTAGATCCTCTCCAGCCATTCCCAGGGATACAGGGCATGGATTAGATCCCCTCCAGCCATTCCCAGGGACACAGGCTATGGATTAAATCCCATCCAGCCATTCCCAGGGACACAGGACATGGATTAGATCCTCTCCAGCCATTCCCAGGGACACAGGGCATGGATTGGATCCTCCCAGCCATTCCCAGGACACGGGGCATGGATTGGATCCTCTCCAGCCATTCCCAGGGACACAGGGCATGGATTAGATCCTCTCCAGCCATTCCCAGGGACACAGGGTATGGATTGGATCCCCCCATCCAGCCATTCCCAGGGACACAGGGCATGGATTAGATCCCCTCCAGCCATTCCCAGGGATACAGGACATGGATTAGATCCTGTCCAGCCATTCCCAGGGATACAGGACATGGATTAGATCCTGTCCAGCCATTCCCAGGGACACAGGGCATGGATTGGATCCTCTCCAGCCATTCCCAGGGACACAGGCCATGGATTAGATCCCTTCCAGCCATTCCCAGGGACACAGGGCATGGATTGGATCCTCTCCAGCCATTCCCAGGGACACAGGGCATGGATTGGATCCTGTCCAGCCATTCCCAG